GGACTTCCAGGTTTTTCATGGTGGTCTAGCTTTAATTCAATCATGATCTCAACTATTGAAATTACTAAAAACGCCACAAAACCCCTTCTGACACTAATCAACATATACTCATTACTGACTGGCTTCAAGAGATGTTTCCTGGAGTTCTAGTGAGAAGCAGTGACCAGTGGATTTCAACCGAGTCTGTTGTGAGATAGTAACTCCCTGAAGATTATGGTGAATATGTCGCTCAATTCTGTGGATTATTTGAAGTTAGACATTAACAACGTTGGATCCCGGTCAGTTCAATGGTTTAGTGGTTAAGCTCTCGCGCGCGAAACTGATAGGTCCTGTGTTCGTATCTCTTGAGGCGGGATCGTGGATGCTTTCTGCTGAGGAGTCCCACGATAAGATGGAAAGGCTATCCAATGCTTCGAGGTTTTCCGTGGTGGTCTAACTCCAATGGACTCATGATCTCATCTATTGAAATCACTACAATCTCCATAAAAACCCCTTCTGTTATAAAATGAGGTAAATTTGGTGAATTTATTGTATATTACTGAAATGTATACAGAAACTGTAAAAGCTAAAGAGCATCTTACAACAGTTGTTTTGTTGTGGTTTTTTTAATAACTATTCAGACGTTCAATCTTCACCAGCTTATCTAATGTTCTTTGCCCGGAAGTCAATTCGTCATAGGATAAATAGACTATTTTATAAAATAATAATGTTCCGTATTCATTACTTCTCTTTTAAGATAAATTATAATAAACAATCTCGATTTCCTAGATTGGAAATATATCTATACATGATAATAATTTAAAGCTGAGAATATCTTCATCGAAGATGGTAGAGAAGATTTGTAGGTCAGGTGGATGATTTTGGTGGAGTTTTGTTCTCTGAGCTGGATGGTTTGGTCAGAGAACAAAACTCCACCAAAATATCTTCATCAAATTTTTCATATGAATAAAAAGTGCTTTGACATAGTTTCTGGCAAGGAAATAATATTACATCTTTCTATAAAACCAAATACTAATTACTGAATAACAAAATAAATACAAAATACATTTTAATATAAAAAAGTTTTTTTTTCTATTTTATTCACATTCTTTACATTACACTTGTAGTTACCTAGACCTTTCGATATGAGTAGAGAATTATCTTGTAGAGTATAATATTTCACACTTTAAAAAATAATTGTACAATATTTTTTTCACAATAAATATGAACTATATCTGGTCATAATAATTACTCTCATATAACATTCTCAGACGAGGATGAGGCAGGTGATATGTTATCCATAACCTCGTTTTTTTTATTATTATGATTTTGAAGCTGATATCTTTATACGGAAAAATGTCTTCCGATAGATCAACTAAACTCGAACTAATCACATATTATTGTAAGATCACATGGTATTTAAGAGATGTAGGTGTAGGCGGCCTATTACAAAGAAATGAGTTATTCATCTATCCACGTTCACCGCCCACCTGTTCTTGTCTGAAAGAGTTCAAACTTACATAGCATTATATATATATATGTGCTTATTAATGTCCGGTTTATCCATATAGTAAGCTGATCTGTTATTTTAAGGAAATATGCCCTATTGACTGGATCAGATTAGACAGTAAGCAACCTTCAAACTATCGAAAATCGATACACGACCACTTTATTAAATAATAATCAAATATTTACTTGTGAGCAGCTTTGATATAAATTTTCCTAATTACTGGTGAAAAATCATTATCTGTAAATTCAATCAAGTTGAAAATGACACTGTTGCTCAACAATGACAAAAGTTGACTTTCATGTTATATCGTAAAAGTTAGATATGTGAACTGTTGAATTTCGATTCAGGAATTTGAAGGTATCATTTCTGTGGTAAGGTCTAAAAATCTTGTTTCTCGATGTCATATGTACATATTAGGGAGAATCAGCTGTGTACTGCTTCTTGATCATTCAGTTATCCTTCAAGGAATTTCAGTTCATAATAAAGTGTACTGATTAATTATTGTTCCCCACAACTTGATCTTTTGAATAGTTTGAATAAAGAGTAAACAATAATTATTGCTGAATAAAATAAATTCATTCTAATTCAAGGGTTATATAAGCTCTAAACACTCTAATATTATTATACAGTAACATTGAAGATGGCACAGGTATTCAGTGTTTGACAACGCTTTTACCAGCAACACCTAATATAATTCGTGCCCACCAAGAGAAATCAAAAGACAGAGTCGGGGAGATCAAAAGAGTGTATTTGGCGGTAACCAATATATCGGAATTCTCTGATCTAATCTGGCTAGCGATTGCGGTAGATGTTGAGCACAGCGTTACCACACGTGATCCGCTGCGGATGCATGACCGAGCGCCTTCAGCTAGGTGAGTCCACTAAAACTAATCTGGTCAGCATCAAATGTCGAAAACTTACAGAGCTATTTATTTTGGAGATTTATTTACCGCTACAACATGATTCGAACACAAAATTTGATGTACTTTAGTGAATTTGATATAAGTGTTTGAAGTGGATCGAAAATCATAAGTGAATAAAAATGCATGATATAGCGATGAACAAGTTTAAAATTGATCGAGAAAAACAACACTCAAACATCTGGTCATGTAAAGTGGACGTGGATCCTAACAATTACGATAACATGTAATAAGGGATAATTCTTTTTTGTATTGAGTGTTTGAGTCTTCCCATTGATATTTAGGATTGCGGTTGATCAGTCTCATATTGCATATAGGCTTCCTGTGCGGATTGCCTCGGTATTAACTGAATTTACAAGCATTATAAGCAAAGATGGATGGTGGTTAGTAGTGGACAATCAATACAAAAATAAATTAAAACTTCACCCCATTTCACAAGCTAGTAGCTATCTGGACTCAGTAGCTAAATGGATAATATGATGACGTTTGAAGTGAATGGTACTAGGTCCGAATCTTGGAGTGAACATCAACTCTGAGATATAGGTACATCCAGCTGACGAGTCCTAAAAATAGGACGAAATGTGCGTCCCAGATTCCCCTGCTACCACCATCCATCTCTACTTATAGTTTAACAATGGAGTACATAACAATAATGGAAATAAAATGTGATTACCCACTAAATGAAAATAACCAGATTCATGATCGAATTCATCTGTGGATATCATTATGATTATGTTATAGATGATATTATTTAATTCCGGTCCTATTTATCGTCACAAGAAAAAGTTTATTGAAATTTCCTTTTGTACACATTGTTTATGTCCGAAATATTTGATCCATGTTACATCTAATAATACTTATGAGTAGTTTATGCTTTTTTTCTTTCATAGATTTATAGAAATGTGGTCAGAAAGCCAATTAGAACACTTTCTTTTCTTACCTGTTATATATTTACTACCACATGTACATTTGAATTCATAAATGCAACTAAAAGGTTACATTTGCAGAATATTGATTTACTTCTATTTACAATGCAATTGAAAATTCCTCATGAGGAATTCTCTTCTTTCCATTCCTACTATTAAAATTAGATAATTTTCCCAACATCATCTTTAATCTATTCATACAATAACTTATTTATACTCATTTTGAGTATTATGATATCAGTTAGAATGTAATAATAATAGCAGGAAATTATTTATGTAGAAGCGTGAGAGCAAATATCAGTAATCTTTCTAGATAATAGTCTCCGGAATACAGTTACTTGATCGAAGTTAGACATGTGATTCATTGGCTACTAACCTAATAACCAGAAAGTGACTTTCACACTACAAGCTATTAAAATTAACCAATGGATCATAGTATATTGATTGCTGAGATATAATCCCATACTATGATAAAATAAAAATATCTAAATGGTAGATGGAGGTAGTCAACAGGAAACCCTGGACCCAGGTTTCGTGCTACTTGGCACTTGTCAGCAAGGTGTACCTGTAACCTTCGGGGGACTGGTTCTCCCCGACGAATTCAATCCCGTGTCACCCAGCCTCACAGTCAGAGACGTTACCACTGAGCTATCCGGGCCGCGACCGATCTCCTTTAGGACTGAGATATAATCACAATTGATTGACCACTGGGTGGTGATGGTTGCCAGGGTCTCCTTTTGGCTACCTCTAACCATCATCTTATCTCAATATAGTGTACACAATGTCGAGTCACCTAGACTAGTGGTTACATTGCAACTTGATCGATAGCATTCGATCTACACTAAGAAGGATTTGACACACATATGACATTGATCACCATCCAGTGGTTAATCAATTATGATTACAAATATCTAATGTTCTTTAGTATTTTCAATTGTTTCCCCCAGTTAAAATCAATCCATAATTAAACTTAAACATAACACCAATAGAATGAACTAAACATTCAATATTAGAAAATACTTGTTTATTTCTCTCTTTCTTCAAATGAAATATTCACTACAATCATGTAAACAATGAAAGACAGGTGACTAAATATAATTCAAAGGGTTCTGTTTATTTATTTTGTTCATTGTTTTTGTTTTATTCTAATTTAGTGGATTTTAGATAAACATCTAAATGATATCAATGATATTGAATTTAGTTTTTATAATACAAAGTATCTGCATTTATATATGTAAACTTCACTTGATATCATCATCATCATCACTATCACTAATGCCATCAGTTCTCATTTAATCTATCAAACAAAGTGAATGAATGTATGAATAATTTCTTTATCATTACTTAGTATTGTTTCTCTTTATGACACAGGGTCGGGTAGGGATTCCATTTATTTTATTTTTTCGCATAAATTAATAACTGAAAATGTAAGGAATACATTTAAATGAATCAAACTAAGATCAGTGTTAATTTAAGATGATAAAAAAACCCAATACTTACTTACACCTGTTACTCCTAATGCAGCATAGGATACCGACCAGCATTCTCCAATATACTCTGTCATGAGCCTTCTTTTCTAGTTCTATTCAATTGTTGTTCATCCTTTTCATGTCTATTTCCATTTCTCGGCGTAATGTGTTCTTTGGTCTTCCTTTTTTCCTTAAGCCTTAAGGATTCCATTTGGAGGCTTGCCTTGTGACGCAGTTCGGTGCTTTCCTCAATGTGTGTCCTGTTCACTTTCAGCTCTGCTTTTTGATTTCTTCCTCCACTGGAATCGGGTTTGTTCTCTCCCACAGTAGGTTGTTTCTGATAGTGCCTGGCCAATGGATCTGAAGTATTTTGCGTAAACAATTGTTAATAAACACCTATATCTTCTGGATGATGGCTTTCATAGTTCTCCAGGTTTCTGCCCCATACAGTAGAACTGTCTTGACATTTGTATTGAAAATCCTAACCTTGGTGTTGGTTGACAGTTGTTTTGAGTTCCAGATGTCATTCAGTTGTAGATATGCTGTTCTTGCTTTGCCGATCCGCGCCTTCACATCTGTATCAGATCCACCGTGTTCATCAATGATACTGCCCAGATATGTAAAGGTTTTTACATCTTCCAAATCTTCTCCGTCAATTGTGATTGGATTGGTGCATTCTGTGTTGTATCGGAGAATCCAGATTTTCCCTTTGTGTATACTGAGACCGACTACTGCTACTCTGATCGTCTTTTCCTGCATTTGTTGTTACGTGTGCAATAGAAGAGTCAGATCATCTACGAACAAATGTTATATTAACGTACATTATAAATTTTTGAATGTATTATACTGAATAAAGACTACAAGCCTATAATGAATCGAAATGTTTTTCTTAATAAATAAAACATTGATGTCCCGTAACACGGTGTCCAAAATTTAGCCTTATCTGGACTAATTGACATAGAAATGTGCAAAATTACAAATTCATATGTAAAACATGCAATGAACAATCTCATGTTTATCTAAGAACATCAATAGTAATCTTTCGAGAAAAACAATGTCACAATTCTCAGATGAATAATAAGAAAAGAGTAATAAGAATAAGAATAAATCAAGGAGGAAAAAGTATTATTTCTACATATAAACAAATGACTAAACGAAAAAAACGGTTACTATCATTATGTTTAGCATGAATAAAGGGATACAAATGGAAATGAAGTCTGGTTTAGTAATCAGATCACGCTAAAGCAGTAGATGAATTGTATTGAGATATTCATTTTTAATATGAGTGCAAAAGAAGGTTTTTATTTGTGATGGTTTGTATTTTCCTGTTAGTGAATATCAATGTAAACATAAACACTGAAATTCAGGCAAATAAATCTAACGAGTCACAAATAGGATATAATATGAGCATTGCTAGTTACTGCTTGACATGAGTAAATGTGGTAAAAGATTAGATTACACGTCGTAGTCGATATATTCCCAAACATCATTAAGCTATTCTTTAAATATTCAGCAAAAGTGCACATATTCTTTACATTCTAAAAACTATAAGGTTGTTCATTGATTTAGACTAAAATGCTATTGGAATTATTCAAGTTCATGTAGTCAGTTCATTAGCTATGACTAATTGATCTAAACAACACTGCAGCTACATTATTAGTTCTGTAGAACATGGATATATAATAATATGTTACCTAAAAATCCTTTGTGAATATAAAACAACCTTGTAGGGTTAATAATTAAATTAAGCTATTCAGTTCATGTAAGGATACTCCATCAAAGCCATCTTTAGATGTCACAACTTTTTCATTTAGTTTGAGATTGACTATTTTTTTATACAGTTAGGTGATGACAGGATTCGTACTCAAATAATCTATAAACTATTAATTACCATGAAAGACATATAATTATCTTCAACCTACTGGATGGTCATACACTTATATCATACAACAATATCTCAGGCAATGAAAGATAGCCTTCAGTAATAAAAATAGTAGGTCAGTGGGTTTGTGTCAATCCTTGCAGCTTGTTTTTCTGTAAAAGTCCAGCTTCTCCTTGAAATTGTTTTCTGGTTGGGTTGATATCACTTGTTTGGATAAGGCGTTCCATTCATTGACTACTCAATAAGAAAAACGGAACTCTACTCTGAATATATTAGATCGCGGTTTTTGAACCTTCTTGTTATGGCCTTGAAGAGGATTGGTTCCGGAGGGAGCTAAAAGATAAGATATTTTAACACCTGAATCGTTAGTGAAGATAGGGAATGCTAATATTAGACCAACTGGCGTTGTACGATACGATAAGAGGAAAACGTTCAGGCATTTCAAGCGCTCATTGTAAAAGAGTTTGGAAAGAGCATTCACTAACTTTGTTCTCACAAGCTAAACACGCTCGTGTTAATATCCTTAATAACACGTGAACCGAATACTTGGATATAGTACTCTATTCGGATTAAAATTTAAATGATTGTGTTTACGAGTGTTGATTACGAAGATATATATGCAGACAAATGTAATTTTGATAGCTCTATAGTTTTGATATATGAAATACATGCAGAATGGTTTCAACAGAAAAGTTGATACACTGGAGCAATCAGCCATCGATCAAACAACACTCGTATACTGATGGTCAAGGGATTGCTTCTCTTTTTGAAGCGACGAGACATATACCACTGGTTGGACAAGTGGCCAAAATTTCTAAAGAACAAATATGTGCATTTGTATGAGTCAATGTAGAGAAATCGTTTGATTCGGTATAGTCAGTAACAGTATCTATAGAATGATCTGAGTTATTCAAATAATATATCAGAAAATGGCTGAACAACTGTACATAGGTACGCTATTTATTTTAGAATTTGGCTTATTTGATTAGTTTTGTGCTTGTTTTATCATGAAAACTGTTGAAGCACTAAGGTTACTCCTAACCTGATGGTTTAACTATGGAAAATCTACATAAATTCAATGGATACTTTATGTACAGAAGTAATAAATGCAATATTGTAGATAATTCTAATAGAATTTTTACTTAGAAACGTAATAATAACGAATCTAGTACTTATAAGTTATATAATGATATTTTCAATAGTTGAGATCATGAGTCAATTGAAGCTAGACCACCATGGAAAACTGGAAGCACTGGACTACCATTTCGTTCTACTGTAGGACTCCTCAGCAGTGCTCATCCACAATCCCTCCTCGCGAGGTTCGAACAGTGGCATATGTGTTGCTCAATTTCATGGAGTATTTGAAGTTAGACAGTATCAACGTTGGATACCAACCAGCTCAGTGATCTAGTGGTTAAGCGCTCGTGCGCGGAACTGATAGGTCCTGTGTTCGAATCTCTTGAGGCGAGATCGTGGGTGCGCACTGCTGAGAAGTCCCATACTAGGAAGAAACGGCTGTTCAATGCTTCTAGGTTTTCAATGGTGGTCTTGCTAAGATTAACTCATGAATTCAATTATTAAAAATAGAATATACAGATACAATAGATGGAAATAACTGAGGTATAAGGTAGTTGCTTAAAATTATTAGACCACACTGAAGTTAATCAATTACATCAAATATTATTCGTATTTAAATAGACCACTCAATAAGATATTTTCGAAAAAAATGATGCCTCTATTCAACTATGTTAGCGGTATCTTTATTTAAATGCTATTGAGATAATAATAGCTATAAATCTTAATAGTTGAGATCATGAGTCAATTGCAGCTAGACCACCATGAAAAACCTGGAAGAATTGGATGGGAGTTTCGTCCTACTGTGAGTCTCCTCAGTAGTGTGCATCCACGAATCCGCCTCGCGGGTTTCAGACACTGGACCTCTAGACCACTGAGCTGGCCGGCATCTAACGGTGTTAATGACTAACTTCAACTAATCCAGAAAATTGAGCGATACATCCACCATTGTCATCAATGAGTTACTATCTCACAGCAGACCCGGTTGAACTCCACTGGTTACTGCTACAAATTTTTAAGAAGAAGGAAGTTTGTTTCTGATGTTGAAATGGTTAAATTTTGTTCTACAATGGTTTTAAATAAAACTTCAGTCAAATCAAGATGAATCATTATTGAGGCGCTACTTTAATTCATCTTTTTCTCGTTTTAGATTCGTAACTGCAATTTGATGATAAAGTTTAACAATAAATATACACATATATGGTGAAAGTTACAACGAAACTATGATGCAATAAATCTTCGTGTTTGTCTGTTTTTTTTTATCATTTTTCTTAAAAAAGAAACTTAAAACATTCATAATGATGAAGTAAATTTTCTATCTCATTGAATGGAAAAATTGTATTTCTGATGTTTCGTGACTTAATATAAGTCATTTCATCAGACTAAATCAATAACCGTTTGGTCACAAAACGTCAGAAATACAATTTTCTACTTATTCGAATATAACATAAAATATATTTGTCATTAATTTTCTACTCAATACTTAATTTATTTGAAATTATGAAGTTCAACCTTTGCATTGATATCAATAATTATTTGCCATATGATATTATAATAACAATAAGATTGAATTCTACTTATTCATCCATTGAATATAAAGTGAAATTGAAGAGTTCAGTTTTTATTAGGACGAAAATCAGTTATTTGTGGAAGTCAAATTAATTTTATAATTGGACATGGAAGATCACCATAAACAATTAAGAATTTTTATTAGAAAGGGATTTTGTGGAGATCGTAGTAATTTACTACTTGAATTCATGAGTTGATTAAAGTTAGACCATCTTGAGAAACCTGGAAGCACTGGACTGACGTCAAGTCCTGGTATGAGACTCCTCAGCAGTGCGCATCCACGATCCCGCCTCATGAGATCTCAACCCAGGACCTATCAGTTTCGCACGCGAACACTTAACCACTAGACCACTGAGCCGGCATCTAACGGCCCATGAGAGGGACTGTGGATGTGCGCTGCTCAGGAGTCCCTTACCAGGACGAAACGACCGTTCACTACTTCCAGGTTTCTTATGGTGGTCTAGCTTTAATCGACTTATGAATCCAACTGTGAAATTACTACAATCTCCATGAAATCTCTATCTGATAATAATCATCATGTGGTCACTAGTAACTGGCTTCAAGATGGATTTCATGGAGTTCTGGTGAGGAGCGGTGACCAGTGGACGTCAATCGTGTCTGTTGTGAGACAGTTACTCACTGAAGACGATGGTGGACGGTGGTTCGATTTCATGGATTGGTTGAGGCTAGACATTAACAACGCTGGATACGGCCAGTTCATTGGTCTAGAGATTATACGTTCGCGCGCGAGACCGAAGGTGTTGGGTTCGAGTCACGAGTGCGGAATCGTAGAAGTACACTGCTGAGGAGTCCTATACTAGAACGACATGGCCGTCCAGGGCTTCCAGGTTCCTCAAAGTGGTCCAAATTTAATCGACCCACGAATTTAACTATTCAATTAAGGATTTATTTATTCATCAAATGGTATGTTATATACTAATGTGCATTTTTTTTGAATACACAAAATACTTTTTAGCTAGAATTAATTATGACGTGAATACCACCTAGTATGAATATTTCATACCAAAGATTAATTATATACTGGATAAACCTTTTATCATGCCATATTTAATATGCATGATTTATGGTTTATCACATGTTATTAATCACTCAACTGTAAGTACACTTTATGAGATTTATCACATATTTTAGAATATTTTAAATAAACATATTCAATTCATGTCACATAGGTAATTAGTACAGTTGGAAGAATAAGTACTGTAAAATAATTCATACTAACTTACTTACTTTCTTACGCCTGTTGCTCCTCGTGAAGGAACATAGGCCGCTCACCAGCATTCTCCATCCAACCCTGTACTGGGCAGTCCTTTCAAGCTCTTTCCATTTG